CATGGGGCTGCTCTATCATCATTAGCAGAAGGAATGACCATGAACTCCTGATCTAATCTATCAGCATATAGACATCAATGACCAGTGACAAAGAGGAAGGGATTTTAAGAATGAAATTTAATAATATGTGAAGCTCATAGATAATGTTAGGGGACAAAACAGTATACAAAACAATATGTATAATATTCCAGTTTTGTGAGTATATATCTGGCTATATCTGAATTGTAAAAATAAAGATAATTTTTCCTATATTTGTTTATACTATTCTACATTTTCTAGTTGGTACAATTAATTCCAAATATTTTTATTGTTAGAGAAACAGGTTAGTTTTTAGAAGGAAAAACACACTTCCCAAAATTTACAAAAGGAGGAATGATTCCCCTTGACCCTTAGGAGCTGCAGCTTGGGTAAAATCAGTTTATCTGCACATTCCTCCTCACCCCCACGCCATCCCATCCCCTCCATTCTTGGAGGTAACATACCTTCTGAAATGGGGGAGGGGTGGTTTTTATAACTAAACAGGATACCTAACATTGATTACCAACATAGATACATGGGTGCATTCTTAATGCTATCATAAATGTGTGTGTTCTCACTCCAACTGCATTACCCATCCACAAAGACAAGGTATTATCTTAAGTTTCATTGGTCTGTCCAACAGTACCTTGACCAGCATTTGATAACTACAATTGACCTACTGACTGGCAGATTGGCTGACCTTGCCATTGCTCTTAGGTTTTATGCTCAGAGAATGTGTTAACATCTTTCCTCATTTTGCTTTGGGTCCGAGAGGTAGTGTTTCTTCCAAGTGTACTATGTGAAATCCAACAGCTGGAATACAGGAGCCATTCATAAAAAAAAAAAAAAAGAGTTAGGATTTTTCTCAGTTTGTGTGTGTGGCAAGACCCTAATAGAATTTTTTAAAATTTCATTAGTTGAATTTTTTAAAATTTCATTAGTTTTATGGAAATAGCACTGGGGAGAGGATATGTTAAAGCGCTTTGATTTGAGTGACCACAGTCATCCACACCAGTGTTTTTGGCATCTCTAGTAACTGGCTTCTTGGAGGGAGGGATTTAATAAAAGAGGATTTTCTTTCCCTGAGTTGGCTGTGAGAGTGATAAAACATGCTTGTGGGGCCATTCTGGTTTTGAATATTTCTCGTGTCAGCCAAGACACCCACATGCAGGAATTACAGTCCACTCTGCCCTCTCACTCAGGTCCAGATGGACAGGGAAACTAGGAAGCGGAGCCCAGAATTTTGGGCTTACTATTTAACTTTGTCGGGTATATTTCACTGTATCCCAAACCTTTTATACTCTTACACATCAGAACCCTCCAATTAGATTGAAGCCATATGCCATTTCTGCTGTTTCATAGAGGCATGAGAGAAGACTGGAAAGAGGATGAATTGGTTTTCACAAAAGACAGGTGAAAGTCTCTATCATGACCTGACACACCTGAATGAATTATTTCCCAATTTGGGGAAATGAGGGAGTTCAGTGAAAAAATGTCATCTCTTCTTGGAAGAATAATATTACACTAAGGAATGCTATCAGGGAATTTATGGGTGACGAATTTAAGCAGAGCAAGCATAGGGATAAATAGCAAATATTATCTATTTTGCTCATGAGGAGATATGACATTCTAAGAAACCAACCATGGTGGTTCCTGGTCATGTTTTCCTCCTTATGGGCATGCCATGATTGCATGTGCTTGGACACCAGGCACCCAAAGTCATGGTCAGTTTAAGGAACTCCCAGACCACAAAGCTGCACATCCCAGGTTTTTCAGACCATTCAGATTTGTTGCTGTTTTGAGCCCACACTTGGTGAGTGAAGAAATCAGGATGTGTGTCAATTAGTGCAGGATCTGGGAACCAACTTCAGCATGAGGTATATGGCTCAGGTCCTCAGAGGGCTAAGAATGGTCCAGAGAATTCTGCCTGGGAACTGTACATGAGCTGAATGCCCACTGCTGTGCTCATTCTTACATTTTGTTATTGCTGGAGGACTTATTGCCTTTTTAAAACTTTATTTCTCAACACTTTTTTTTATTTTTAAGAACTATATTATTGTGGAATAATTTTACATTTTTATTTTCCTTATTTAGTAAACGTACATTGTATAAATTGTGTTATTAAATATATATTATATAAATATCAATCATGTAATTAATTATAATTTAGGTTGTTATATAATATGCAAATATTCATTTAATCTTTATAATCATTCAATGAGGTGTAGATACTATGTTTATTTCCATTTTACAAATTGGAAAACTAAAACACTGACAGGCTACTTCACCAAGCCTACACAATTAGTAAGCAATTGAGCTAGGATTTGAACCCAGGAAATCTGGCTCCAGAGTACTTGCTTTTCATCACTATTAAAATTCAGAAAAATATAAAGAAAATAAAAGGACAACTATACATATGCTGCCTTGTAGTCTATCCTATACATAGACTTCCACATCATGGAACCTAGTCTCTCTAATCAACTTTGTATCTTGGCTTTTTTTCCAGCTGAACCTTATAATAGTCTTTTCACATTATTAAAATTTCCTTATAACTATTATTTTAATGGCTACTTAATATGCCCATCATGTAGATGTACCACTATTTGCTTAACCATTCTCTTATTTTCTATAATGACAACTAGCACTGTGATGACCATCTGTGCAGAATTTCTTTTCTCCTTTGGACTATACTTTTAGGATACATTCTCAGAAGTAAAATTGTCATATCCAAGAGTATGAACACTTTTCAGGTTCTAGATACAGGTTGTCAAATTGTTTTCCAAAAGGTTTATACTCTTTTGCCATGTCTGCAACACTATGCAGAAGTGATTTCTTCACCAGTCTCACTCTGGCACCGAGAATATTTAGGAATCTTTACTAATGTGATAGGTGGAATATAGTATTTTATCATTGCCTTGATTTTTATTTCTTTGATGGCTAGAGGACTGACAGTTTGTCCATGTTGGCTGATCCAATTATATGGGTATTGGAGAGGTCTGTTCAGGTGGTTTGCCTGTGTCTGTCTGTTGAAAGCAAAAGGAAACCTTTGAATATCAAAAAGAGAAGAGCCTCATGCCCTCACCCCACCCCTGTTGTTTGTGTCCATTGGTTAGGCTTATATGCATGCATACAAGTCCTTTGGTTGATCTCTCCCCCTTACACCTACCCTCCCCTACCTTCCCTCTGAGGTTTGACTATCTGATCATGGGAGTGGGGGGCGGGCAATGTGGGGATAAGAACATATATGTAATAACTTAATAAAGAAAAAAATAAATAAAAAAAGAGAAGAGCCAATAATTTTCCATTCTTCTCCTGTCCTGACATGGAATTTCTTTAGGTATTTTCCTAGTCTGTACTGCTAACATACATTTAATGTTACCCCAGACCTTATGTGGATTTTTTCTTGATTCTATATAGAGTATACAATTGTCTGCTTATAAAGGATATTATTACTAGTATTTTGTTTTCTTCTATGAGTGTACCTGTGCATAAAACTGCTCTATCCCTGTGTCTTGGATCATAAGCTCCTAGAGGGCCAGCCTATGTCTTACGAGCAGTTCAGCTCATATTCTTTGGTAATGCTCCTAGTAACCATAGAACAGGCCTCCCAGCCAAGGGTAGTATGAACAATCAGAAATGAGAAGAGTTGTGAGCATAATAGGCTGGATATGTGAGTGCGCCCTGGTTGTATTTAAAGAGAGCCAAAAAGAACCCAAATAGCACCTCCCCTACTTGATGATAGGAGCTCAGTTTTCTTTAACCAAACATAAAGTCTTTCCATCCTAAGAAGAGGCAGTTCTAATAAAGGAAGGCACACAGGGCTTGGGCCCAAAGTTCATGGGTTAGGGTTAGGGTTAAGGTTAGGGTTAGGGTTAGCTCTGTGTTCTCTATCATTTAATGTTTGTGGTAGGGACCCTGAGGCACTTCCTCTACTTTTCCCACCAAAAACAGAGTAATGATATTAATAATAACTGACATTTATAAAGCACTGTTAAATGTTATAGATGGGCTTCCTTATCTAATGACTTGCTTAATTTTCACAATAGCCCACTGACATAGACAGTGACATCCACATTTTACTTTTAAGGAGACAATGACATGGAGTTTATAACAGAACTGCAACTCTCCCTTCAGTAAAGTATCGAATGATGATTTCATTACTTATTTTTTAAAGCATACTGTAATCCAAGAAAGTAATCCATTAGCCTGAAAGGAGGCAAAAAGGAAAAAGGAAAAGGAAGGTGTGGAAGATTATAGAAAAGGACCACATAGGATCCCAAGGAAAACTCCATTAAGTGACCAAAAAAATTGAGAGAAGTGAAACATGATTAGCAAAATGTTGATGACTATTTTAAAATATTACAAAATATTTCCACACATTTCTTCATTATACTATTTGTTCAGTTTTCCCATTTGTTGCAAAGATCAACAACAGTAATAGCTGAGTAAATTGCAGTAATCTAACTGTGGAATGCCATGCACCTATTCAAAATAATGAGGAAGATATAAACATGTATGAATTTATCTGTTACAAGGACAAGTGAATGACTAGATCTCTGTTGCCTTAAAAAAAAAACATTCTTCAGATTTTTACTAAGTGTGAAAATCAGAGTATAGGATAAAGGAAGGTTAGGAAGATGCACTCAAACTCTAGCCTGGGAAGGAATGTCCTCTGAAGGTCAGGCCTTCAGGGTCCAGGACTCTTTGGATAGTCTCTAGAGAAAGTAAGATGCCTTCTAGTTTCAGGTACCAGAGCAGTAATAAAAAATTCATAAGCCAACAAACTTTGAAAGCCCCTGAAGGTGGAAGAGCTTCTGTCCAAATGGTACATTCCAGATGCTTACTTAGAAAGTTTTACAGGTGAGCTTAAAAGTTAAAAGCATTTTGTCATATGAATCTAGGCTGAGTGAGGGTCTAGCTGGGTTGGAGTGATCTTTGGAAGTTGTGCCTGACAGTAGCTTAATGCTGTGCTTGCATTTCAGGATTTTACGGGCAGCTGCAGACATTCTGCCCTCCACACTACCCTGACTCCCAGAGGACCATGCCACCCAGCAGCTCCTGCAGTGTGGTGCCTTCCTTCGAGGACTACTTGGTCCCCACGTCCATGGGCCAGGCTGGTTTTGATGTTTTCCACAGAGCCTTCTCAACTCACTCGGGCATTACAGGTGTGTTGGTGTCTGACTTCAGAACTTGGGCAGACTGGCAGGAGAGACCAGTTGGGTTTCCTGTGACTGGCTGGGCTAGACTTTACACTGCACATGGCTGCATCAAATCCTGTTGAATCCACCTCTGAAATGTCTCTCTGCTTCACCGTCCTCTCCGGCCCCACTTCCACTACCCTAGTCCAGGTACCATTGTGTCTCTCCAAGACAACGCAGACAGCCTTCCAATGAATCTCCTGCATCAACTCCTGTCTTTACCATTCTGCCTTCATGCTTCCATATACTTCCCAAAATGAAGGATAAAATATATAATTTTCTGCTCAAATACCTTCATTCCCAGTTGCCTAGAGAATAAAGTCCACTCTTTTTTTAAAAAAATTTATCTTTATTGTTGAAAGTATCACAGATGTCCCCCTTTTTCCCCCCCTTAATCTCCTCCAGCTAACCCCTGCCCCCTTCCCAGGCCTTCACCACACTATTGTATGTCCATAGGTTATGCATATATGCATACAAGTTCTTTGGTTAATTTTACTCTACCCCCACCTCCCCACTTCCTGCCTTCCCTCTGAGATTTATCAGTCTGTTCCATGTTTCTATGTCTCTGGGTCTATTTTGTTCATCAGTTTATTTTGTTCATTAGATTCCTCATATGAGTGAGATCTCTCAGCATGCCATTCAAAGTGCCCATGAGTTAGGCCTGATTAGACTTTCCAGAACTCCCTCACATATGTCTCCCGACATGTTCTGCACCTCAGCTTTGCCACCACACTTGGCCCCACATTTCCCTTCCTCTCTCTCTTTGCTTCCTGTTTCCTCCTTCTGGAATGTTATTTTTTTAAAACCTTCCCTCCTAGCCAGATCCCAAGAATCCCATCCTTGACTCAACTTTAAGATTACCATTTTTTGAGACCACCCTCACCCTTCCCCAGAACACTTCACTTTTACTAATACTCAGCTCATACTTTGTGCCAAGACTTATATTGGCCATCTGTCTGCACCCCAGACTTCTCTTCCACCTAGGTGCCTGAGGACAGAGACCTGCTAATGGGGCTAGGTCAGCACGGTCGCTCATTGGACCCCGGTGGGCGTGGCGAGGCGAGGCAGATGTTGACTCCTGTGTTTCTTCTCTTCCAGTGTACGATTTGCCTTCGGGTTCCTCAAGCCTCTTCGGAGAGTCTCTTCGCAGTGGGCCTGAAGACACCACGTTCTTGCAGATCAGTGCTGTGGACCGCTGTCCTAGCCAGCTCTCCTCTGTCTACACTGAAGGGTAACAGCTCCAGCTCCACTGGCCTCCACTACCACTGGCATCCAGAACCTTTTGTTGCTTGCCACCTATTGTGTTCATACCCTCAAAGACTGCATGGAAAGGGTGGCGACTGAGTCAGTGGTGTCTGTGAAGTCACAGATGTGTCTTGGAAGGCAGGGCTGATGGTCAGAGCTGGGCTTTATGGAAATGTTTTTATTTGCTCCTTGTTCTCTCTGGGTTTGCTAGTGACCAGCAGGATTGTCTTTTCAAAGGGAATTTAGACTCTCTCTCCCCCAGATATTTCCTCCTGGCTGTCAACCCTCAGAGGACACAGATGAAGTGATGTGCATGTGAAAATGTAGTTTGGGGACTGCCCTCTCTGAAAACCCTAAATAGAGAAGGACAATGCAAATTGCCAGAAGCACAGAGAACTGCCCGCCCCCCTCCCCCCCCCGCCCCCGTGCTCCTCCTCACTGCTGGCCAATGCTTAGCCAGGCACACAGGAACCCCAGACTTGCAGCACAGGGGGCTCCCCAGGGTTCAGCATCAGCCAGCCTTCCAGTGAGCTGGCTGCCTCTCTTCCTCTCCTCTTCGATATCCCCATGCTAACCAATTGCTTTTCAGTGTTTCTTCAAAAGCAAAGTGAGGAGGTTCTGTTAAGTACAGGCCCTTGAAAGGCACTACAACTTGTTTTATATTCCAAAAACCTTAGTTCCTTCATTTTAAAGACTTGTAATTTACATCTACTTTAAAAGGAAAAAAAATATTTAGAAGTCTGTTCTTTGGATGCCAACTATTTTAATCACCCCAACTACATACATTTTGCCACAGCTATGTGGCTCTGCCTGGCCACACCTCACAGCACCTGTGAGCACTCCTGGAATGTTAGTTTTGTATTTAGCAAAGGCTACCTGAGGGAAACAGGGTGAGCACACCCTCTTCCCAGTGCTGTAGCAGGAACCCTAGCGGGTTAGCTGTTCGGCAACCCAACTCCACCTCAGAGACCTTGTTCAAAGTAAAAGGTCACACGACTGGTTCACCCATTGCTTCTGCTCTGGTGCTCTGCCCAGAGACATGCTAGAAGATGTGAGCACAGGGACTCACTGAGTTATGTTCCTAGGTTTTCTCAGAAAACCAAACTAGAGATGCCCTATGTCGTTATTTTGCACAGCCTTTGCTCACCTCCCTCAGGATATCTACCATCTGTCTGTCTCTCCCCTGTGCTTATCTTTCTCTATTTGCATTGTTCTCACCCTCTCCCTGACTGTGGTTCAGACATGCCCACCACCATCATTATCTGACCATCAACTGTTAGCAAGGTCTGGCCACAGGAAGGTTAAGGAGACAGTTCTGGAAAGGTGGGCAGAAGAAGGCAACCTTTTTTTCTGAAACTCAGGTTTGAGGGCACTTGGCCATTTGATATCAAGCCTGAAGAGGAAGCCATTTACTGTGGCACCTTTACAAAGCTTTACAAAGATCCTGAGTCTGATGGCCTAGGCTATAATAATGAGCCCAGCCCCAGATACCCAGTAAATTTGGACATTCCAGTACTGTCACATTTCATGCTTTCTTTTTTCTCTTTTAAAAAATGTTTTCTGAACAACAAAGAAACAATGCTGTTTGTCAAACAGAAATCATTACAATCTTCAGTGAGATAAGTACACAGTGCGGTGTCAGACTTGGGACCTGGGGACAGGTGTATCCTGACAGGTGGGTCCTCCCAGTCCAGCTGCGCAGTCAGTAGTATTCGGCCTGCTGTTGGACTTCATTCAAACATGTGGTAGGATGAGCTGAGTAAAGCACCAAGCATGGGTCTGTTTTCACAGTGCCCCTGGTCAGTCTAGTTCTCTGACCAATGAGCTCTGATCTGAGAAAAGCCATCGTGCAGATGCCCAACTCTGCAAACAGGTTATTCACTTGAGAAACGCCTGTTCTACTTTATGAGAGGATGCCTGTTGGGCTCCCTTTCCAGATGAGCCCTCAGACTGCAGGGAAAGTAACCTCCTCCTTGCAGACTTGGTGGGTTGTGTCCCTTGGCCAAAGCAAGGACACACGCATCCTAACACTGGCATCCCTCCTGTGTCCTTTGTCACACTCTGGAAAGAAAGGAAAGCTTCTTAGAGAGACAGTCTATTCATTCTTAATATTGAAGCCTTTATGAGGAACTCCAAATACATATTATTTTTGTGATGAGGAGGAAAAAGATTGAAAGGCAAGGTGGTTATTGCAGCTGATGTTGTCACCCCTGCCTGTGGCTTTTATATAAGTTAAAGTTGAAAGGGGGAAGGAAGACAAAGCCGGAAGCTGAGCCTCAGAAACCATGGTTGCCATCTTCTTTGGCTGGAGGGGATGCTCCTATGCCAGTCTGTCTCACCGTGGCTTCAGGGTGGTCCTGCCTCTCTCATGCTTCACTGTGGCTGGATGGGGCCAGGGCAAGCCAGGCCACAGTAGCACCTGTAGGGCCTCCTTCCTCAGTAGAAATTGGGCCGGCCCCTCAGGAGGCATTCCTGTTAGCAGAGGGCATGCAGTAAGCAGGGCCCAGGGCTGCCTGCAGTGCTGAGAGCCCTTCCAGGACCCTCTGTGTTTCCTGATGGTGCAGGTCTGAGCTTATGGCCTCAGGACAGGACACTCAGGTTCTGGCTAGACTCCGCATTCTGTCCTTAGATCCCAGAATCACATCTGACCTTAAAATGTGTTTCTTGCTTGCTTTCACATTGCACAGGATTTATATATGCTTTCATTATAATGTTCGTAGCAGTAAAAATGGAATGTTAAAAAATTTATTACCTTCCACTTCTTGACCTTTTTAGTCTTGACATGTAACCATTTTCATTAACATCCAAACAGAGATTGTCATTACCCTTTTTTTTAAAGTAAAAACCGGTGCCTAGGAAAATACACGCAGCCCAAAGCTAATTACCCTCTTACATAAAAAGAAGAAATCAGTATGCCTACAGTCATTTAATTTGCTGCATTGTCTTCATTCCCTAAAGGGACTGCATCAAAGTGTCAGTTGTAATTCAGCCTCGGATCAGCTGTTAAGTATTATTTAAATATTTACTATCCGGTGGGGTCCTTTTCCCATGTCTCCCCAAATTACATAGGCTATTTTAAAACGGACAGTAGGTCTTCAGTGGCTCTCAGCAGTGTCCACTGGTGGAACTGAGTGTTGGTTTGTTCTGGAGCTTTTACATTTCCAGCTGTTAAGCACATTCATGCCCCAGAATGGAGGTAAATGTTCATCTCCCCATCCAGGAACCTCGACTGTTCAGTTGCCTCGAAGTATTGGGAATAGTGATTGTAAACAATTTAATTATTTGGTGTTTTATTGGACTGTTTGACCATGTCATTTTATAGCAGCGTTTTTTAATGGCACTTTTTGTTGGTGGTGTGGAATTTCTGCGGTTACTTTTTTTTTTTTTTTTTTTGCAACGGATAAAGCAAAAACATCACACCACTCATTGGAGAAATAGTGAGTGTAAAAAAGAAGAGATTTATTTTGTACGGACAGCAGAGCATCCTGTGTAATGTTGCTGACATACAGCACTTTGGGGGGAAAAAGTGGAAATCTGTTTTCCATAAATCACACAGACTCTTGTATATAGTTATATACACTCACATAGAGAAATGAACTGCATATATCATACTGGATATGGGGCCGATCTTACTCTAAGGGCACATCTGGTGCTTATTGTCATAAATCTTTTAAAGAATTAGGTACACTTTTTTTCTATTAATATGTATAGTTTTGTGATTTGTCACAGTTATGTTTCATATAATCATAAGTTATTTTGTCTTGTTTCATGAAGTCCTTTTTTATGTCAAAAGTAAAATGAAGGTTTTGTGCACTTGGTACCGAATAAAACTGGAAATGGAGGCTATGCCCACCGCTTGAAACCCTCCCTCAGCATGTCATTCCAAAACACAATGGCAACAACTGCTTTTTGTTTGTTTGTTTTATTATTTTGTTTTGTTTTACCATCAGCCTCCTTTATATTGAGATGGTAATTATAATTAAAAGCAGCTGGTGGGAGAGGGCGTGTCCAAGGCCAGCTTTAAAATGCTGCATTGCTCTGGGCCAGAGCTGCAGCCTGGATTTAATTATAGATATGAGGACGGAATGGCAGTAAAAATGAATGTGTCCCTGAATCCTTTACATGTTGGGAGTGTCCATAAATAAAACATGAAGTTTTATTTCATCAGATTTAATTAAAGCTTTTATACATGTTTTATTGGTTATTCTATTAATCCGCTTCACAAACTGGATAAATGTGTGCCAGGGTTTGGGGTTTATTTGTGTCTTTTCAGTGTAGTGCTACATCATGCTTCAGAAATGCCTCAAGTGCTTGGACCTCCAGGTGATGGGGTTTCAGCGTGCTGGCCATTGGTGGGGTGGGCGTTTTCTGTCCAGTTTTCCTAAAGCCCTGTAGAGAAAGACACAAGCATCAGCTTCAAACTGACCTTTGAAGTCCCCTGGTTTTTCTGAAGGAGAAAGGGGCAATGACCATTTCCCTGATTCCCGGCCTGTTCACATTGCAAGCTTTGGAAGGCCACCTGCCCCACCTGCTGTGATGACCTTCCTTCCTCAGCTCCCATCCCTGGGATGTGGGCGGGGGGTTGGGGGCAGGGGGAGGGAAAGGGGGTTGGAGGAGGGGCGCTTTGCTGTCTAAGTTGCACGCTGTTCTGAGCCGCGTGCGGAAATCTCGCGATGTCTCGCTCTGATGTGAATTACGTCCCTTACGCGCCCTCACGCCTCACGCCGGTAAGAGTCTCCATCTTACTGACCAGGCCGTCCAGGCACCGCCGTGTTGGCGTCCAGGTAACCCTCGCTTTACTCAGTAATGGCGCCAAAGCCCGTGGGTCGCTTTGCTGGCGGCGGGATGTGCCGCGGAGAAGCGCGCGGTGCGGGATGGGCGTCGTCAGGTCTTCAACCCCCGCGTATCATCTCAGATCATCATGGGAAGGTGAGTCTACACACGACATTTAGGGAGAGCGGGCACATCACAGAGCTCTTCCTGCAGCATTTTGTTACGACTGTTCCATGTTATTAGTAGCTAATACCTTACTGAGCTTAATTTACAAATGAACCTCTATCACAGGCACGGATGTGTAGGAAAAAGCAGAGCGAATGTGGTCTGAGCCGTGGTTTTAGGCATGCCCTGGGGGTCTTACCTGTTTCCTGTGGTTAAAGCGGCCCTGCTGCCTGGCGTTTAGGTGGGAAAGTATAAAGAACCGCAAGGAAGACAGTATCACACGGGGTGGGGTGGGGGGGGGGGACTGAGGAACTGTGTTCAGGAAGGAAGGACACGGGGAGGACTCGGAGGTGATGGCCAGCAGTCTCTCATTTCTTGACCCCCACGATGCGTTATACTGGTGTTTGCTTTATAATGATTTAACTGTGACTATGTATGTGTTTTATACTTTTTTTGTGCAAATATCGGTGACG